AGCATTGCATTCACCTTGCTCGGTAAACAAGATAATTTTGCGCACTCACAGAGGATCAAAGTTTATAAACAGCCCCTTTACATGTACGAGGCTCAGCTCGGGAGGTATCTTCAGCATTGAAAAAAGCACTGCACCTGGGCCAGTGCAATAAAAATTAAAATTGACCCCCATCTTTTTTCCCCATTAATAAAATACAATGGTTGTTTGGGAATACTACAGGGTGCTCACAAAGACCTGTTACCCCCCATGTTTTTTTTCTACAGTGCAGTGACCGACAACTGAAACATGTGGAAGAATGATGATGATTGTATTTAGAGATACTTCATTGTATTCAGTACAAGTGTTTAACTGTATTTAGGCATCCAGAGGATCAGTGTGTGTGAGAGCCTTCATTTTCATGGCAGCTAATGATCCGTCGCCATGTTTAGTGCTACATCTTCCGTAACATGGATAAAGTGATGAGGTGGAAATGCATCTCTGACAACTTGTTTCAGGCTCCTCCGCAGTCTCATATCACTGTTTTGTAACAGGAGGTAACAGGACTTTTTGGTCACTCTGTATATTAAATAGCCAGTTGCATTTGTAGCAGCAATTAATTTTCTCGCAATTCTCTGACACAGCTATTCAGAAAAACTAAGAAACAAAGAACGTTTGTGGACTAAGAGAATTTGGGGGACTGGCTCGACTCATAGCCAGTGCTTCAACCCCTGACTCACGACCCGACGGCACCACAGGGAAGTAAAAACATAAAAGTATCTTTTCGTTCAAAACCGTTTCTAAGCCAATCCCATCGAGATTTTGGTCAAAGCTTGTTTATGCGGTAAGTACTATTGATTTAAAAAATATATTACTGTCAGGTTATGCAGCTTTCAAAGTAGATTAATAAAAATAATAAATTATGTATTCGATAAACAAACCTTTATTTAAAATCACAACCAACTAACACTTTTAAATTAGGGGTTAGGGTCTAGTTTGCAATATTGGGGCCTCTGGATACAGTATTTGTTCAAATAAAGCCCAAATGTCGCAAATTAAAGTGAAGTTTTTAGATGAATGTGAAGCATTCCTACACCAGGCTGCAATGATTTACGCAGGCACCAGTCTCAGGTTGATACTGTCGCTATTATGCATCAGATATTAATCCTGGCCTGTTTTTCCAATAAGAGCAGGAATGTGATCCACAAAATGACAGCTTGAACAAGGATCAAGCTCGTTCAGCCAAACTAACCTGCTCTAGCACACAGCGCTTGATCCATACTAAAAGCAATGATTAAATTTACTGAAGAACTGGTCACTCCAACAAATCCACTTGAGAGTTGGTTATTAAATTCCAAATACATCTAGGAAATCTTTAGCAGGTGCCAGGCAGCTTCTAATTCAGTATTGGCACAGCAGAGATCAACTAGCACTCACTTTTGGAACGAGAGGGCGGAGGGGGGAAGAGGAGGGAGCAGGGGAGAATTAAAAACAGTCTCCAAGTAAAATATTCAGCCGATGTTAGATGAAGTGAGGATGTCAATCACCAATGGTTAATAACTGGCAATAAATAATGAAGCGTTGCACTCGGTTTTAGTACTCAGATTATTACTGAAATTAGTTACAAATACTGTAGTTAAGAACTGGTGCAGTGCAGCCATTCCTATTAAATGCAATGTTTATGCCTCAGCTGAGCTTTCACTGCAAATAAATATGACAGAATAAACCAATTATAAACTACATTCCTGCAAGGACATTCTGATGTTCTCTAAATTGAAGTGAGTGACTTGGATACACCAGTGATATAGAGAACGTTTACCTGGAATATCATCACTGACAACAGGAGGTTTATTTGTATCCTAGTGCAATTTATCAATCACTAAATTATAGATACATATGAGACAGACCAGTGAAGGTGTCTGAAACATGTGAAAACCCATCACTATGCTTAAGAGTATTCAAACCAGACTGAGACTGGATTTAATATAAAATATGGCAGCTCTGGGAAAATTAGAAAGTAAATAATAATTCTAGCATTTGATATAGTGCCTTATCATGTCTTCGAGACGTCTCAAAGGGCTTCACAGAATATAGTGTAAAGTGAATTGACTGAATATTTTGTGGGAGAAACGTGGCAGCCAATAGCGCGCAGCAGCGTCCCACAAACAGTCGTGGATTGAAGTGACCAATTTTTTTGAAGGAATTATTATCCCCAGAAAAACGATCCGCCAATCGACTAACAACCCGGTTCTTACTTACTGCTAGGTAAACAGAAGCGTGTGGAGTAAGGAAACTTGCCCAACATTTCGCCCTACCGGGAATCAAGCCCAGGTCTCCTGCTTACGAGGCAAGTGCTCTAAACCACTGAGCTACAGGATTTCATAGTAGCAGTGACACTTCATAGTGCTGTTAGCCGTTGCATACATTGTGTAACAATCCATCCAGTATTACATAGAACGTTAGAGCACAGAAACAGGCCATTCAGCCCAAATTGTCTGTGCTGATGTTTACACTTCACAAGAGCCTCCACCCTTCCTAATCTCCTCCCCTGGACCCCTATATTCCTTTCTCCATGCCTTTTAAAACCAAACTGCACAGTAATCCCATCCCCCTAAAAACAGCTACAATCACCCCCATCCTGAAACAAAACCTTCCCTGGACCCATCTCTGCTTTCCAACTACCGGCCCATGTCCAACCTCCCATTTCTTTCGAAGGTCCTTGAAAGAGTTGCTGCTTCCCAGCTTCACTCATTCCTCTCTTACCACTCCCTTCACGAGCCCCTCCAATCGGGTTTCCATGCTGCTCACAGCACGGAAACTGCTCTGCTTAAGGTGACAAATGACATTCTGTCCATCTGTGACCAAGGGCTCCCTCTGCTTCCTCGACCTCTCTGCTGCCTTCGATATTAATAATCCTTGTATTTGATATAATATCTTAGCACGCCATTGAGACGTCTCAAAAGCACTTCATAGCACATATTGTAGGATGGATTGACTGTGTATTTTATGGGCGAAACGGGGCTGCCAATTTCACACAGAAGTGTCCCACAAACAGTCGTAGATTGACATTAGTTATGGTCTTGATATTTGATTGACCCGGGGAAGCACCAGTCAGAGAAACTTTACACACAATTTAAAATTCACTTTGCAGTTCATTCCATGAAATAATTACTGCTGCTTTGTAAGGCTGTCATTTCAAATAATAAACCCTGTGAGCTGCACTCCTGTACTTGAGGGTCACGTTGATATGGAAATTCAGTTAAAACTGACTTACGTTACATGGACTTGGTACCCAAAGTCTCACCCTCTGTACTTACGCACGTTTGCAACATATACCTTGCACGTGTTTGAGAAAGTGTCCGTAAAAAAAAACTTGTCTCGACATAAAATCAAACTGGTAGACCATGTTGAAATGCAAAGGCTTTCAAAATTCTCCTCTATTGCACTGACTATAACAAGGTTTTTTTAAAACAAAAATCTTTCCTTACACGTTCTTCAGCTATTTCTTTCCCTAGCTTTTGTAAAATTCCCATTCCCTTGTATCCCCATTAATATTGCTGTCTCCTGACTGTGAAGGCAGGAAACCATAGTGTTAATGTAGATACAAGGGTAGCATTGAGCCGTGGGATCCTTCACTCCCGAAGCCAGTGTTTGGCAATGTCAATGAAAGGAACCGTGTCACCAGAATGTCTTACATGGATCCTTTCTCTGAGGCAGAGCAGCCGAGTACTACCCCCACCACACTCTCCCCCATAAAAATATCAATTGTACTTGTGACCAAGTTTAGAACCAGAATCCCACAAAGCCACGTAATATATTAACTCAAGTTCCTCATAGTAATAACTTTGATCATTTTACTGCATCTATTTTGTACTCACACATGATTATCTTGATAAATAGGTTAGTATAAACCTGTTGTGTTATACAGCCTTTTTCCATATAGGCATGCTTTACTGAGTGACTGGAAAACCTAATCGACAATACAGTACATCCAAGGGCTAAAGGACACTTCTTGGGCCATATTGTGCCAATTTGCGGCAACTTTATCTGAAATTATGTTATGCAAGAGAAAATAAAATCAATGCGTTTTTCAGAAAGCAATCTGTATTTAGTGCAGAGGGTTTGAGTATGCAGTTAAGTGACATACATGCTAAAATATTCCAATAAGAGACGGGGAAAGTTTGGAATTTGTCACGTTGGTGCGTGCCCAGGTTTTAGACTGACTGGTTGATGACATATTGTGGCTTCTTTCCTAAAATATTTTCTTGGTAAACAGAAAGCTGTGTTTTTCAACCCTATTGCCAGATTCTGTTTAAAATGAACAGAATTTTCTTTCATGTAAACAAGCCTAGAAAATGTACTATAGAGGAGGGCCATGGAGGAAACTTGAGAGGCCAGCAATACCTTCAGTCAAGTCTTCATTACAATCTGTATTAGCTTTGGACTTGTCGTAGTCATCCTTGAAGGTCACTTGTGTACACTTGCATAATTGTGTTATCCAAGCTCTCCTTCCTCTTGCCTCAACCCACAAAAACAACAGGGGAATTGGAAAATGTGTGGTAAAAGATTAGCAATATTTCTTGGGTGTCATAATAAATTTCTGGGCACTTCCAAAAATTGATGACAACGCCTTTAAAAATGATCTATCTCCTCATGAACAAATCTAACTAAATATAGTTAGCTTTATCATAGCAATGAACGATTAACTACCTGGGGGAGCGGGCTCCAATACCCTGGGGGAGTGGCCTCAACCATCTAGGGTGCAAGGGGACTCAACTACCTCTGTCTGAACCAAAATAAGTGGATATATCTGATTTCAACTGTTCTTATTTTCATTTGAAACCAATATCTTCGAATCTTAGATTCCAAATGAATCCTAGAAAAAATAAAACAAACTGCCCCCCACCCACACACACATTTTACAGTTGCAGTAATAGGTTTGCGTGAGTGCACATGTTGAAAATTCAACAGTCAAATAATCTGTTACAAGAGAAGTTTTTTTCCCCTGTTAAAGACCGTCTTACCTGTTGCTGTTGATTGTGCACTGGCATCTTTGGCCAGCACTTGAAGCAGACTGGACTGCTGCTGACTGGAGCTGACTTCAGGTTCTGCACTGATGGGTGGAGACAGAGATGCTTCCCTGGAAGACCCTGTCTTTATCATTTGTATATCCAGGTCTTCTGAAGTATCCTGATCCTCTTGACCGGGAAGCTGCAGAGCTGATAACGGAATATTGATCTGCTGGTTGCCTCCAGAGCTGCTGACTGGCATCTGAAGAACTAACTGCTGGCCGGCTCCCTGCCCACTCAACTGGTTATGTGACACTATCGAACTCCGGCCAGATTTTGTGCTTACTGCCCTGGAGATTGTTGGTGGAATGACAGAAATACCTTGTGAATCAGTCTGTTCAGCCATATGGGCAGCAGGAAGAAGGGCTGAAGACTTGGTAGGCCCCAAATAAGAAGCTGGCCCAGACTTTGGCTGTGTTTTTGGCTTTGGTGTCAATGCGATTGAAGAGCCATTACTATCTACAGCAATTTCTGCATTCGCCACAATATAGTAATCTTCAGGTCTCTCTTGCTTGATCTTTTTGACAATGACGTCATTACTGTTTTCAATAACCAGGTTCGGAGAATTGGGTAACAGTGAAGGCCCTGCTTCTCGCCTTTTCCGTGAGTTTCTTTGATGCTCTAGCCGAGATTCGTAATCGCTGTCTTCATCAGTCACTGAGGACTCACACACCATATCGAACATATCGTCCTCGTACTCCACATTCTCATCAACCTCGGAGGGTTCACTGTATGAAAACTCACAGGAATCCAAATTCCTGGTACACTCTGCCTTTCCCTTTGAGAGTCTGCTTACAAATCTCTCCCCTGGGCTTTGATGAGCCTCGGAGGACACTGCTATTATGCTGGGACTATCAGAGTTAAAACTCCTACTGTCCTGATAGCATACCCGATCCTGGGACCCAGCCCGGCAGGTAGCAGTCAGCGGCCAGTGATAAGCATGGCCTGCACTGCAGCCCCACATAGCTGTCAGGTTTCCATGGGCCCCTTCAGTCAACAAGTGTTTCAGGTTTGGAATGAGACTGCATATAGTCCCATGACTGTGAGCCCAGCTGACCAGTTTGGACAGGTTTTCTGAACATGTGTGAAGGCAGTCTTCCATCTTGCTGGGCTTTTATTCCTTTTAATAGTCAATTTCCTAGAAAATAAACAAAACAAGATAAATCAGTGGGTTATTTATCACACAAAAGTTACTAAAGTTAAGCATGGAACTAAATCCCAAATACCAGAGCTGCTTCTCCAAGAATCCTTGTGGAAAATCACACATGACAGTAAAAACAAGCAGTTACATAAATAGACTTTTTTTAAACAGTTAATAATCACTGGCTGGTTTTGATAATAACTCTTCACAGGTACATATAAACACCCAAGTAGACAGATATACTCTGTCCACCACACATTTAGATTCAAAGTCGTATCATTTGCCCCTGGTACAGTATTATTTGAGAGATGTAGTTCACTGCAGTCTTTGCAGTTTGTACTCTGTAAAATCCATCACAATGATCTGTGATCTTCTTTGATAGCTCTCAGATCTTACTCACTGTAAGCTCTCTCTCAGTAAGCAGGCAACAGGAAAACTATTCTTGGTCACGGGGCTGCATTTGAACAAATCACACTCGAGAATCTTGCCTGCAATCTCACCATAAAACAAGGCAGCTCTTTGGATACATTGCTTCCTGCTGTATTTTGGATGGACTGAAATATATTACAGACTGCTACACAGCAAGTCTGAACTACAAGGCTTAACTGTTCTTGTTTAAGGTACATTTTTTTAACTATGGTACCATTAAAATGCAGTGAGCATTTTATTTTGCTATGAAACTGAAAACTATGTTTTATGTTGTGAACTTTTAAAAAACATATTTAACCCTTTATTTGCCAACAAAATACCAAATTCCAACAAATGCTTTGCAGAGGTTACATAAATAAAATCCGAGTGGAATGAGAAATTCTTATGAAAACAAATAGACCACAGTACTAAGGTCATTCATTCTCAGGCTAGAATGAATCTTTACAGATTTAGTTTTATCTCATTTTCACTCAGATGTGTGTACAGGGTGAAGTCAGATGCAAGTCACTCATCACCCACTCAATAACCTCTAATTGTTTCAAGGGGATAAGTGCTGTGCTTCCTATTCATTTCCTTGCAGCTTTTACAAATGGTTTATTCATTCTTCAGTACTTGGCCCTTTGGCCACTGATCTGTGTCCATTAAAATCGAAAAGGGAAATACTCTTACACATATAGTGAAATGCCGGGGGGGGCTTTTTTTCTGTGTAGGGTTTTTAAAACAAAGATTAATCACAATTTGCATAACATAGAGAAATTGTAACTTCTTGATGGGTGTATGTACAGAAATGAAATCTTGTTATGGATCTATTTACATGTGGCAGTTAAATAATTACCAGCTTCTAACAATCACTCCAGTCAGACTTTTGGTAACGTGTTTTTTGTACATGGTATTGAAAGCCAGGTTTGGGCACTGTAATTTACCGCATTCAAAAGCTGTATTGATGTCTCGATTTACATGGTTCAACTGAAACCATCTGATGTGGATATAAATGTGTATTACCCACTGATTACATGCTAATCATTTTACTTAATTACAACTTTAATTTGCATGAGGAAACCCCCATTAAAAGAGATTAGAAAACTATTGAAATGTACAGACAGAAGTCAGGATTTTTCCCAAATGTTGCATAGCAAGTCTTTTGTATCTAAGAGCAGATTTAACTGGAGAATCAGAGTTGTACAACACAAAAGAAGGCCATTTAACTCATTGAGTCAGTGGTGGCAACTTCCATCCATGGCGTTGGTGGGGACGGGGAATACACCAAGTCATTGATAACTTAATGAGCCCAACCTATGCTCATTAACACACACCATTTGAAAAGTCGGATACTGGTTTGTTAAGTAAGTGCCAATCTTTTAGTAACTGGAGACAATTGATACATTCCCCTATTCTGCAATAAACAAGCAGGGTGTGAGCGCAAGGCAAGTGCCTGAAAATCTCAGGAATTAGTTGGCACAAACTGCTCAGTTTGCACTACCGGTTAGTGCCATTGTCTGAGCCTCTTGATTTGTATAACTGACTTGCAACAAGTTCATCCACATCCTTTATTGTACATAGAAAATGTTCTTTTTAAAAAAACATAAAAGCCCTGTAGTGAAACTTCAATTACACATCCTATTGTAAAACCACGTTTTCTTTTGTGCTCTGTATTTTTCCATACTACACGGCATATAAAAGAACCAGCTTTATATTTGTCTCATTATAGTACTTAGAAAGGAATTACTACAGTTTTAGCCCACAACCTTTCCAAATCTTAGGAATTGTTTGATTTGGAAAACAAATCGGCCATTTTATATCTTTTTGAAAATGAGAATTTTGCCAAACGCCATTTAATGAACAAATTTCCAGTAATTACATCGACACCACTGTACAATTCTAAGTATCGAATATCAAAAAGCAAAAAAGGAAATTGAATCTTTGAATTGAATCTTTCTTGGAGTACAAAATATTTTGCAGCTTCTATCCACAAGAATTACAACTATCTCGTCATTAGACTGTAAATGCAACTGTAAAATTCAAGCACTGAATATTTCAATAACAAATGATTCTGAAAATAACAAGAGTTCTTCCAGTATCTTTCATTTTTTCTTTCTCCCCTCACATGAAGGAGCTGACTCGTGCTGGGCATTGTTTCACGATTGCTGGTTACCTTCAAATATCTTGTGACAAAGCTCAAGTGGTTATTCTTCATGCCTAAACACTATCAGCATGCTATGTGGCCACTGCAACCTAAAGCTCAACAACATCCACAATGTAACGCAGGTTAAACTAAAAGTTACATTGGTTCCAGAGATATATTCGGAACTCTATTAAACTGCTTCCAAAGTGCCATCAGCCAATGTACCTGATCCAACTGTTCCAGCAATTGCCAAACGATACTTGATCCAGGGGCAAGGCAGTTTTTGTCAATACAAACACAATTTTACATTTATATAATGCCTTTCACGTCAGAAGGATGTCTCAAACAGCGTTTGTGAGTTTTTGAACTTTGAATATACAGCCCACCCACATATCACTAACAGACAGCAATACAGTTTTTGAAGTCTAATAATTTCTCTGCAGAATATTCATTCTGAGTGCAGTAAGTGTTCTTTTGAATCATTTTGCTGAATGAATAATTAAATGAGCTGTGGTGGAAAGATTTGGCTATTTTTAGCTGGAGAGGATACAAGCCCTGCTGCAAGTATGAAGTGTCTTAAGCTGCATCTGTCCATTTGTCAGGATTCCACTCAAATAATATCTCATTCTCAGACAAGCAAACACTTCTGGCAAAGGCCGAAGTCTGCAAGAACACAGAGTTCAAACCTCTGACAGTACATGGATAGGAGGGCAATAATAATAGTTATTGTATTTGATATTTCATGTCCAGAGGATGCCTCAAAGCCCTTCACAGGACACACTGTAAAATGGAGTGACTATATTTCGTAGGAGAACGCAACAGCCAATTTGCAGACAACAGTGTCCCACAAACAGCCATGAAGTGAATGACCAAAGTCTTATATGGAGATGAAACCTTGTTCTGTGATGATGTGCACCATTTTATGGATCACTCGACAGTGAAGTATCTCACAAATGATTCGGCACTATCCAACCATCAAACGTTTGAAGGCAGTTGAGGTACTGCTCTTAGATCCTCACAAGTTTCGCCCACAAAATATAGAGTCAATTCACTTTACAGTATATTCTGTGAAGCGCTTTGAGATGTCTTGAAGATATAAGGTGCTATATCAAATGCAAGGATTATTATCCTTAGTTCTTCTTATTTGGTAATCAACCATCCGATCATTCGTTAAAACAAAATTAGCTAACTAAAGTAAAACCTGTTCAGTGTTGCATCTTTTAATGGTCCAGTAAATTTCTGGGTGACATATTTCATCCTGAATAGATCAGATCCCATCTTACTCCAATGTTTCACTGAATGCACTGCCCATCTAATCAATGAAAACAACAGTTAACTGTGGTGTGGTCAGGACCAGACCCTCCAGATATCTTTCAAGAAAAATATCAAATTGGGTAGACACTGATTGTTTTAATGCAAGACAATTTGTCAAACATTACTAACACATGTAGATCAGATATTGGAGCAAGATATTCCACCAAATCTTACTCTCAATCAATAATCAATGATAGTAGAGGGGGCCACATGTAATATGGCCCTTGACCTCTTGCATATGGTGAGCGGCCTCTTTGTACAACGCACGGAGATGCAGATGCTCACCGCCAGATGCCTAATGTTGCTTGTGACTGACTGAATGTCATAGTGAGTAGACCCCAAGCACTTCAGAGAGAAGGGGAATCCAGGCACGTGGAAATGCACAAGAATGTAAAAGACCATTAAAAGACCAAGTCATTTTCTAGTAATATTGCCCACTGTCCCTAATCCCCAAGACTGCTCTTGTTACCTTCTGACAGCTTCCCTCCACTACTCCCTCCACACTGACAGACTGTTACTGAGGCATGTGCACTCAAACATATTAAAGAGCTGCAAATAAACAGGTGCCTGCACAACTCACAGAAAGTATTTGTACCTATCCAACACTGTACAGAAATGACCCTTTATATCTTGCCTACTTTAATGGGTTTATAACACAAATAAAACAATGGGGATAATAAAACACAGCAGCTAATATTGACCAAATCTATATGATATACATGAGCTGCCGAGTTATGTTTCATTTGTACAGAACTCATTGCAATTTACATTTTCTGTATCAGAGCCAAATCCAGTGTGAAGTTTGGACTGAATCCAAATTCAAAAAGGTCAGGGCTGGAACAGTTTATATAGCTCTTGATAAATCTGCAAGGACCTTGAAGTAAGTCAGTTATAAAACCTTGCCGCGGTCACTTTCTGTAACTTTGCAAATTACTCTACTTCAATATCTCTGGGTACCAATACAATGTGAAATACAAGCAGACGGGGATACACAAAACATACAAAAATAATCTTTGAATTTTATTTTTCATAAAGGTGATGCAATCATATCAGATTTGTTGAGAACTTAAACTGACAAAACAATGCCTTGTGCAAAGGATATAGATCTTGTTATGCCCACAAACTAAAATGT